GCGGGGGCGGGGCCGCGCTGTCCTTTCCGAACCGGGAGCGACCTGCGGAGCCGGGAATTTCCCTGGCCCCGGGACTGCTCAGTTCCCCGCGCCCGCCAGGGATAAAAGCGGTTCTCCCGGCTCCGGGAGCCACAGAATCCGCTCCGCCAGCTCGCGCTGCAGCTCGCCAGCTCCAGGCCCCGCCGCCCCGACTCTCCGAGCTGAGCCCCATGGCCCGCGCCGCCACCGCCGCCGCACCCCGCGCTCTCCGCCTCCTCGGCGCCGCGCTGCTGCTCCTGCTGCTGGTCCCCGCCGGCCGCCGCGCCGCAGGTGAGACTCGGCGCGCCCCCAGCCCACGGGCGGGACGGGGGGGGCGCTGGGCGCCCACCGCGGGGCCGCCAGCTAACCCGGTCTGTTCTCCCCGTAGGGGCGCCCGTGGCCGCCGAGCTGCGCTGCCAGTGCTTGCAGACCTTGCAGGGAATTCACCTCAAGAACATCCAGAACGTCAAGGTGACGCCCTCGGGACCCCACTGCGCCCAAACCGAAGTCATGTAAGTGATGCCCCACACCGCTGCGGCTGCTCGCGTCCTGGTGGCCCCCAGCGCCCTGATGCCCGCCGGCCCCCCGCCCCGCCCCACCTCCCGCCAACGCGGATTCTGCCTTCTCCCTGCAGAGCCACTCTCAAGAATGGGCAGGAGGTTTGTCTCAACCCCGAAGCCCCCATGGTCAAGAAAATCATCAATAAGATGCTAAACAAGTGAGTTGTGCTTTTTGTTCACACGTGGGACTAGAGTCATTGGTCACTAATACTGGCAAATGCCTCCAGAAAGTTTTACCAAGGAAACCCAGGGTTTAGCTGAAGGACTGAAAATCATTATTATTTCACAATGAAATCTGCTAGTAAGATCATTCATCTGTTCTGGTGCCAGAAGGATATTTCCAGTACCCTCCATCCCCATGCAAATGAGTGTGGGTAAATGTGTGTTCCTAAAAGATGAAGTAGATTTGGCCAATGATGCCAAAATGCCCCCTACCCATTAAGGAACGAACAGTACTTACCTCCATCCCTGATGGGCTTCAGCCTTGAGAAGTGGAACCCCTGGCTTTGGACAACATGGACCTCTGAAGCTTTGTTGTGGAGAGCAAGGACTCTGAGACCTCCCTAAGCTCAAGTCTAGGAAAGTTTTCTAATGAAAGTTTTCTAATGGCTTTGAGCCTCAGCAAAATGGGATAAATAATAATAGCTATTTCATGGGTGGTATGAGGTTTAAGTGAGGTCTTGCATGTGATATTTTAACCCAGTGTGACAGTGAGCGCTATGTTTTAGCTCTTTCAAGTCAATAAGAGTTTATTCCACAGCCCCGCTCCACTCCTCCTCGATAAAAGAGCCAGTTCCCTACTGTGCAGGGCAGTGGGTACTGTGGGACCTTGTCTGGGCACAGGGCTGGGCCAGGGTCTGCATACAGAAATCCCTCCAGCCTCAGGGGCCAGTGTGAGAGAATAGCAGGGTTCCTTAGCCCCTGTACCAGTAACCCTTTTCTTTTCATCGGGGCAGCACCAACTGACCTCAGACAAGTAAGAAGCTCGCTGGTGGTGGTTCCTGAAAGACCCTTACAGGAACTGAAAATGAAGAAGAGAACTGGCTTCTGGAGACTTCTAGAAAGGCCTTAAATATGTTTGACTATTATGAGTTCTATTTATTTATGTTTGTATTTATTTATTTTTCAAAGTTCATATTTAATATTTTACATGTTAGTATTTAAAGATGTGAATGTGTTTAATCAAACTCAGTCCTGATTGTTATTTAATCTGAAGATGATGGGTTTTAAATGTCTCATGAAACCAGTGTTTCCGGGAGTTCATCAAATGCCCGGGGTACATTGATGGGTTGGAGCCGGGGGGGAGGGAGTCGAAGCAGTTAAACAGTGTGTACAGATCTATTTTTGTACTTGTTTAAAAGAATGTCAGTTGTTATTTATTGAAATTATTTCACATTATGTGGTCAACATTTTTATGTTGAAGCTTCCCTTGGACATTTTATGTCTTGCTTGTAGGGCATAATGCCTTGTTTAATGTTCATTATGCAATGTTGCTCTGTCTTGGAACAGAGAAGTTAAAACTACTGTAATGTTTTTACAAACAATAAGATAATAAACGTTTTGCAAAAAATAACACGCCTGGGTTTTGTTTTATTTTTCTCGATTTTTGGTTCCTACTAGGTGCCCAAGGTATTAAACAGTTAGATTGTGGTCACACCTAAATTTATGCCTGCTTCTAGTTTTTACTTTCCTTACTTTTCTCTCATTTAGGGGATATTTGACACACTACTATCCCCAAGCACCTTGAGAATCCTAGTTTTACACAAAATATTGCTGCTTTTCACACTGATTCAATATTCAAAATTTGTTCTTTATAAACTTCTGGATTTTTATAAATATTGTAACAAGAGCTCCTATTAAAGGCTTTGAGTAAGTGGATTTCCAAACAATTATGTAATTCTTTCCATTTTGATGAGGCTGGGACCAAAAAGTGGAAAAGTGGATTCTTCCTAAGAACTTGAACAATTTGTGTAATTTAATAAAAATAGTGACCTACACTAATACTTACTAAAGCAAAAAAAAAAAAAAAGAAGAAGAAAGAATGATCTACGGAGATAAGTACATGCTATAAAGTAAAATACATAACAAAAATAAAGGATAGGTAGGAAGAGAAATGGATTTAGAATATAATACACGTCTTCAATTGTTGGACAAAGTATTAAGTGAAGGAAAATTGTAATGTGGCAGGAATATAGATTGCAATTTTTAAGGTAAACACTAAAAAGGAAATAAAAATTTGGGATTTAAAAAAATCTGAAAAGGAGATAAAATGGAATAAAAGAAAATATCTGAATTATACAAAATAAATTAAGGAATAAAGAAGCAAAACAGCAGATGGGATAGGGGGAGAAGGGAAAAATCTTCCTTATAGAAGAATGACTAATAATACAAGTCTTTCTCCTTCTGAAGGTGAGTTTTAATTCCCCTCCCCCCATGGATACGGGCTGGGCTTTGTGACTTTCTTCCAAAGAAGAGACTAAGAAAAGGGGGAAAACAACATTATAGTGGAGAATCTGGCAGATCCCACCTTAACCAAGTGATGAAGGTTATTATGACCAGTTGTGTCAAGTGAATATCAGGAACACCTCCCAACATGATATGGTAAGAAGGGCACTTTGTCTCCATCATATTCTTCCCCAAAACCCATAAGCTCAGTAGGATCATGAGAAAATCATCATAAAAATCCAAATTCAGAAACATTCTACAAAATACTTAACAAGTATTCTTCAGATCTGTTGAAGTCATGAAAATCAAAGCAATAATGAGATTCTGTCATAGATCAGAGGAGACAAAGGAGACAGGCTGACTAAATCTAACATGGGGTGTGAGCTCATGACCCTGAGATCAAGTCCTGAGCTGATATCAAGAGTCAGACGCTTAGCCAACAGACCCACCCAGATGCCCCAAAGATTAACATTTTTAATAAAGATTGATGAATAAGACCAAAAAAACCTATGTTTCTTAAAAGAGACACACTTTAAATATTGGGACCCAGGTAGGGGCGCCTGGGTGGCTCAGTCGTTAAGCGTCTGCCTTCGGCTCAGGTCATGATCTCAGGGTCCTGGGATCGAGCCCCGCATCAGGCTCCCTGCTCCGTGGGAAGCCTGCTTCTCCCCCTCCCACTCCCCCTGCCTGGGTTCTCTCTCTCGCTGTGTCTCACTCTGTCAAATAAATAAATAAAATCTTTAAAAAAATAAATAAATAAATAAATATTGGGACCCAGGTAACTTGAAATTAAAAGAACTGAAAGTGTTATATCATGCTAAAGCTAACTGAGAGAAACCTAGTGTGGAAATACTGATGCATTACTTGTTAATAAGCGCTAATGTATTATTAAGATAAATTTTTAATACATTGGTTAATAATTGATACATTAATTAAGGTTTAATATATTAGGACTTAAGGAAAGAAGTAAACTTAGAGATTAAAAAAAAGACTGACTCAAAATAAAAAGGAGTTACTTCTACAAGAGACAATCCTAAAATTCCATGAACTTAATATTTATCAAGATATATTAAGAGAGAAACTAGAAGGAGCAATGCATGAAACCATAATCATAGTTAAAGATTCTAACAAGCCTCTTTCAGTACTTAATAGGCACAGCAGTAAAGAATCAGTAACAGAATAGAAGGGTAAAGGAACAGGATCGCCCAACTTGACCAGCGTGCTGGTAATCCGGACATTTCACTCAACAACTGCATAAATCATACATATTTTTTCAACACACAGGGAACATTTTACAAAACAGACCATATGTGAGCCATAAAAAATGTATCAGCACATTTCCAAATGTTGAAATGTTACAGAGGATATTCTCTGATCAAGTTTTTTACAATTTGTCATGTTCCTAGTTGACTATGTATCCACACAGATGCGTAATGTGTTTGCTGTGGTTTCTAGTTCATCTCTTAACTTCCCAAATTTCACTTCCATAATACAAGGAAGCATCAAAACAGGGTCATCATGTTGTTTTCATGCCTGTTTTAGCCAAATGTATTAAACAATACATTTCCTCATTTTCCGTATTTATTTCTTGACATATCTTTTTGTAACCTTGGCATTTCTGTATTTCTTTGATTTGTAGTATATGTAATATAATTTGATAACTCATTACTACTGCCACAAAATTTTTTAAAAAATTGTTAAGAAAATGGGGCGCCTGGGTGGTTCAGTCGATTGTGTCCAACTCTTGATTTCAGCTCAGGTCATGGTCTCAGGGTTGCGAGTTCGAGTTCCGCATCAGGCTCTGTGCTCAGCAGGGAGTCTGCTTGAGATTCTCTCCCTCTCCCTCTGCCCCTCTTCTCTCTCTCTCTCTTTAGAATAAATAAAAAAAAACTTAAGAAAATAGAAATACAAAGCTTATATTGAAATCTATTATTTTTAAAGTTTTGAATAAATGCCCAAATCTAACATATTGGATGGTTCTCAGAGTTAATTGAAATGAACTTAAATAATTATAGATGGTTAAAATCATCAGGATGGCCTTACCATGGGGACAGAAGGAAAGACTGACTATGTTGCAGAAGAAAGTATGCAGGTTAGTATTGAAGAAGAACTTCACATTTGCAGTTTCAGTTTTATCCACTATACATCTTTTGCAAAACTGACCACAGTCCCTTGTACCTTGCATGTGCCTAGTAAATGTCTTTTAATTCAATATCTACGACCTTTTCATTTTTTTTGCACATGTCCTGAATTTTAGGTTATACCCCACCCACCCTATGGGAGATAGCCAATAAAGGTCATAGTGTGGTCTGTGCAACAGGGCCATGGAAACACTTTGCGATGCCTACAGAGGACTCCCAGTTGAGATACCATCAATGCCGGATGCTGACCAACAAACAGGGTCCTACCAGCACATGGGCCTCCAGTGTCAGATGCCTGCCACCTCCTTCTACCTCAGTCTTTCCTCAGTCTCTGCTCACGGAGTGAGTTCCAGCTTGCTGCTCTTAAGACTCACCATGCTCTATCCCAGTGCTAGGCCTCTGTTCATCTGGCCCTCTCCTGAATGTTCTCTGCCCGTCAGTGTTCTCTGTTTACCTAGAAAACTCCTCATCCTTAAGAGTCATGTGAATGGTCAGCTCTTTCAGGAAAACTTCTCTCACAAGTTTCATAAACCCCCTCTGTAAGAGTTGAATTAGGTGCTCTTCCTCACTCCTAACACCTTGGGAACAGTTTGCTGTGGTAATTACAGGCTTTTCTAAAAACTTCTATTTGTACATTCATTTCCCCTATTGCACTGAGAGTCAGAGGACAGCAGAGTATTTTTCCTCTCAATATCCCTGGCCAAACTTCATTCCCACTTTACACATGCTCGGTAAATGATCAATGACAATGTTGAAACAAAGGGAGAAAGAAAGGAATTCAATTCGAGTTGAACCACCCTTTTGGTTGGAAAGGTAATTAACAATAAGTGGAATCAGTAACAAAAGCCCAACTCAAAATGGTTTCATGAGAAGGCGAATCATTTGACCTGTAAAAGTAAAAGACTGAGGGGCACCTGGGTGGCTCAGTCGTTGGGCGTCTGCCTTCGGCTCAGGTCATGATCCCAGGGAGCTGGGATCAAGCCCCGCATCAGGTTCCCTGTTCCGCGGGAAGCCTGCTTCTCCCTCTCCCGCTCCCCCTGCTTGTGTTCCCTCTCTCGCTGTGTCTCTCTCTGTCAAATAAATAAATAAAATCTTAAAAAAAAAAAGTAAAAGACTGACAAGCTGCAGTTCAAAAATTCTGTTTAGTAATTAGTCTCACTCCCGCTCAGGTGGCTTTTCTCTGTGCTCACTTTACAAAGCTCTCCTCAAACACTGACAAGGTTTCAAGTTTCTGTTCTAGTAGTTATAACCCCACAGGAAGCAAAGGCTTGTTTTTCCAACCATTTCCTGACAAAACAGATTCCAGGAAATTTTTCTGACTTGGCCAGGCTTAGGTCACTTCCCTACCCCTGTACCTATCAGAACTGGGCTGGGGGGTTAGACCCAGACTGGAAGGACTGACCAATATTACTTTGGGTCATCAGCCCAGTCCTGGAGCTTTGGAGCAGGGTCACCCTACCTGAACTACCCAGATTGGAAGGAAGAAAGAAAGGTCCCCAATAGAAAACCACAGTTCTGTAACCAGAAGAAGGAGGAAGCTCACGCCAGGTAGAAATGACCAATGTACTAGAAACTGGATCAGGTTTATGACATTAACACCGGACAAAATGCTCTGGACTGAGGAAGTGGGTGGTTCGAGGGATTTCATGTCACATTCAGACATCTCCATTCTTCTCCCCTTGGAGCCAGAGTCCTTCTACCTGAAGCAGGCATTGCAACAAAATAGGGGTGGCAGTTGTGACGGCACGATTTCCGGAGGCCAGTGGGAACAACAGAGCCCATTCCTGTGGCTCCATCATCTCTGGAAGGCAGCACCAAGCCTGGACTGTAAAGGCAGATTAGATGGTGTCAATCCAATCTGCAAGATGCAGTAAATATGGTAGCTCGAAATGGGACTTAGTCATCGATGTTTTTATTTTAGGGATGCTCTATTCTTTTAAGATTGGTGATTGCATTCGTTTAAAGTTTGGGCATAGAAATCTGTCAT